GTTTTAGCCTGATATGATTTTTAGCTCTCTTTGGAAGACACATGCATTTGACACTGTACTGATTCTACTTACTGTCACTACTAAACCCTTTTTATTCCTCTGCAGGGAAAGTTCAGTCACTGAATCTGTCTACTCCTTCTCCCATCTCCTCCCCTCCCCTCTAACCCTCAAAGCCAAGACATGAAGTTACATTTCTTTATTTCTTCCATCAGCTATTGTGGTATGAGAGTTCCACTAAGACATGGGCACGTTCCAAAAAAAACATGCGAATAAGGACTTCTGTGTTTTTAAGACCTGACCCAAGATATTTATTTATCCAGAAGTTGAAATTCTCACGAGCAATGGGTGAAATTCTGAGGAGAGGAGATCTGCAGCAGGCCTGGACATAACACTGAATCAATGCAGGGCAACAAGTGCCATAATATAGGCTATGAAGGATAAGCCATAAACCAAGCATCAGCAGAAATCTATACATTACCATCATTTCATAACTTGCACCAGTCACTTTTATGTTAGAACGGAGTGAGAATGAAAGCATAGGTACACTTAAATAATAATAGAGATTCCTACAAATCCTGGAATGATTTACTACTGACAGTGCAGTAATGGATTGCTTATGGCAAACAGGAGATTCACAGTTTCCCAGGAGGCTTATTCCTCCACTGCAGGATACAAATAATTCCCACTGACTTCAGTGCCTTTCCTGCCGTGAAGGACCAGGAATTTATTGGCTTCAGTGGGAGTTACGAATAACTTGCATGAGGAAAATGAAACCCTAAAGAAACAAATTAAGAATGACTCTGTCTACTTCTTAAATCTATTTCAAATATCTCTCTCTCTGTCAGCTGGAAAAAAAACCACACTCAGCTCAAACTTACCCATCTATAGAAACTAAAAATTCTAGCGACATCTATAAGCAAATGTATATGGTCAGTATAGAGCAGAAGTAGCAACAAAACTCATAAGAAGCTGAAAGATTTCTCATGGAAGAAGTTCTCTGTAAAATATTTGTCTCCTGGACACATTTCCCCAGCTAACAGCCAAGACGCCTTCACCGTGCAGACGTACACAAGATTCCCTCACTAACACTACTAACAGTATCTTGCTGTAATTGTGCACTTTGTTTCATTTACCAGAGAAGAGCAATTACATGAAAAAATTGACCTAAAGACAGTTGTGTGCTTAAATTCCCATCTTGCCCATCTGTACCACTTGTCTGATAGTATATTTGGTGCACAAGAAGAGGAGGAAGAAATGCTCTTCTTTGAGAACCATATTTGGAGAAACTTCATTGCTTTAAAGCAGACATAAGAGCTAATATTTAATCTGGTAGACCAGCAGATGGACAATCACACAGCTGTTGGCCTACCTAGTCAGGCATAGCACATTTCCACAACAGGAAAGTGTGTTCAAGAAACCAGTGAAATGTGCATGTTTGGCAGCTGAGTGGGTGGATTTCTTACCGTCTCCTCACGGACATCTAGCTGGGGCAACTCCTAATGACAGGAAACACAGCCAGAGGATCTGCTCCAATGTAGCAACTTGTATGGAAGGAGACCCTACTGCAATCTCCGCTGGAATGGCAGCACTGAAGGAATCACTCCTGGAAAAAGGAATTAATATATTACTCTCAGACATCCTAGGAAATCTCTCGCTGATGTCAGTGAGGTTATGGGCATGGGTGAGGGAACACCTGCCTGAAAAGGCAGGACTCTGTAACAAGAGGGAAATACATATAGTACTCTTTGTGTATAAATCAGTAACTTTATATAAGATATAGCATTTGGTGCCAGCTGACTCACAAAACTGAGTAAACTATGGAAATATGTCCTTATAAATATCACGTTTAGGTAGCAGATAGGGATTATGCAATGTGTTTATTTTCAGCTTCCCATTCAAAAATAAAAATTGTTTTGCTTTGACAAACTCTACGACCCTTGTGACAGCCCCAAAAGATATCACTGTCAGGTGTCTCAGATTGTAGTAGAAATGTCAGACGATTTCTAGTCACACAGCCCTCAGTAAACTGAGGGGAGGGTTGCATTATGGTAAAATGGTTTAATACTTCCTTAGAAAGTCTACATCCAGCTGGAAAGGAAATAGCATCTCCAGAGTGTTTAGTACCAGGACAGTTTGTGGACACAGGAATTGTTCCACATATTTACTTTCCTTTTAAGCAGAAACCAGGCTGTGAAAAAGCTAACACTTTGTACACAAGTTTGTAAGTAATTTATTTGCTAGAATCGGTTTGCCTTTGCTGCTGAATAAAGTGTAGACAGTCTGTATGACTAAGTAATACAGGTTCTGCTGGAAGGGGATGAAGATGCAATTTTGTAAAGGATTTCAAGGGAAGCAGGGGAAAAAGGGAGGTTTCATTCTCTATTTACTATTTTTTAAAACACCTGCCATTCACTCAGTTCCTAAAGATCAAAACCAAAGTATACTTCCAGAGTATTTTCATGGGCCCTGGGGCCAGGCAGTTGCTAATCTGGATGAGTCAAGAGCATCCACTAGAGAGGAAACAACAGCAGGAAGCAGCGAAATCATCTCAGACTTCCTTTGGCTTTACTGTCTGACTTAATAGGGAGACCCCACCTACACATTAAATAGGGTCAAAGCTATAACCCGAGGCTATAGGCTGTACAGCTTCTTGATCATTCCATTACAGTAAGGATGTACATTTCTAGTTAAACTCACAAACAATGCTGAATAGCTATTCAGAAGATTAAGGGGACCTCCCACTTCATGGAAACAGTGACTGTTTACATAATAAGTAATGACAGTAAATCATAACAAATCCTAGGAGAAAACTCCAGTGAGAGATAAAATAACATGACCTCCTGAGTTTTCTTCTTTTCTCAGTCTTACGATCCATGTCTTTATTCCACCATCCTGTAAGGATTTCTACATAGACTTAACATTCAGTACAGCAGTTTCCATTAGTCTAATTAAGTGCAACAAAATAAGTGCATGCACAAGAGAATGTCCTTTTTCCTCTTCGCTTGTGCAGTGCCTAACGTGGGATCCCTCTCCATAGCTTGAGCTCCCTACCACTGTGATATAAAGAACACAATACATTCCACTTTCCAAGGTTAAACAATTAGCATTCTAAATACAGGGCTGGAATAAAGTAGCACCTCTATTGATCTCCATTACTACGCTCAGCTAGACCAGCTGAGGATCAGACCTTACGTAAGATGGTGAGTAGTTTGCAATATGCAAAGGAACTAAACAAACATACTTCTGTGGGGAAAAAATTTTCAACTGGACAACCGGTTTCTGAAACTCCTATGTCAGTAGAAATTACTTACTGAAGAATGTCCTGCATGAGAAATTCTCATTCTATCATTTGCTATATTATAATACAAGATAGCTTTCGCAAGACAAACAGACTTCATTACTTTTCCCCTGGGAACTCCTCCACTCTCTTTTTGTGCATGTGCATGCGAGCAGAGCAGATCCATAATTACACAACCAGAACTCAGATTTGCTTAAAATGAACCATTCTAGTGCTTATTCCCTGCCAGGACACTCCTGTGAAAAAGTACATATTCCCTGCTAAGACAACAAAGGCAAGGAAAAAAAAAATTAAAAAGAAAATTTGTTTTCTTTTCTTTGTTTCTTTTCAGATCTAGCATTTGCTTGTGCTGCACTTGCTTCAAGAAGCTAAGATGTCAGACCTGAAAGCCAGTATGCTGGGTGCTGTACCAACTTGTGAAAAAAAGGCAGTCCGCTCCTGAAGCTTTCCATCAGAAGCGTGTCTGCGCTGCGTTACAACACGTGACTTTTAAGGGAAGGGATTGCCTGTAGCAGGTGTACAATGCTTGGTGCAAAAGGGGTGTGTGCCTGCCAGGGGCCGCAGGAATGCAAATCCTCACATCGGTGTGCGAAGGAGGTGATGCACATCCTGAGAGCACCGTCTGCAGCCTTCTGCCACCCAACACAGGCAGCTTGGAGGGTCCCCCTGCAGAGTCTCCCCACGTGGCCAGCAGTCAGGAGAGAGTTCTGGCTGCTTTTTTAATATTATTAGTGACTTACTCGTCCAACAAAGAAACAAAATTCCAAACAAGGACTCTAATATGTGAATTCACTATAGCTCAGCACTTGCTCAGCTCCCATTCATATGGCGGCTGAAAATCTAGTGGAAAAGAACCGCCTTTAATGACCATGCGTCCTTGTGCTCTGGAGTGTGGGCTACAGCAACTAATAATTGATGAAGGTTTACATGTTTTTCTTGTGTTTCTGCTGGGGCTGCTGTGTCATTAATTCAGCTTGTGCCTGGCTACTTATGTTAAACATTCCCTTTGTGGCTTTCTCTAAATCTTAAATTTTGCATGTGACCACATGTAAATGTAAATGTGTATTTTTATGGTCCTGTAATCTCAGTGCTTTTAAATCCCAGTTGCCTGAGGGCATACAGGGAGCTGAAGCAGAAAAGCTTGGTCAGTTTGTGATCATTTAGAGCTCGTTTATTTGCTCTTTCTGAGTGGATTCAGTTCCTGTAGAGGTTTTTGCCTTTTGTGTAATAGAGTAAAGATAAGATCTAGGAACCTAATTAACCCTGCAGGGCCTGTGAACAAGGCTCATTAGAAAACAGTCAAACACATTTATATTTAAATACCTTATTTATAGGAATTCATATCATATTTCTGAACAGCAGATATACATGCCACACACTCATACCTTTAACTGCTGTAAACCATTTCCTTAAATAAATCTGAAAAATGCATCACGTTTGAGCTCAAAGTCATCTGGATTATACTTGTAAATTGCCTACAATTTGAAAGACTACTCAGTAATAAATTAAAGTGCTGTCTGCAGGACATTGTAAACTATAGTGTCCTTTCACCTACACGCAAAAAAAGTGCATGTTCTATAAAACTAGCATTATTGCAGTCCACATCCTGACCAGTAAACACCATTGTGAAGCAATTTCTCTGGGGACTTACCCATCTGTCCAAGGTCGTGACAATAAGATAGCTGTGATCTGTGATGCATCTCTGAGGACTTCTGGAAAGTCTTCATAAGGAGTCAGAATAAGGTTATTGAAAACTTCATTCTGATGTTACTTCGTATTGCTGTAAACATTCTGGGTCACACAGTAGCAAAGCATGGGTTCTGGTACCTAGTGCCTATGAATATATATAGGTACTTGTCATACAGGTTCCAGTTATTTGAGAACAAAAGTATCCTCAGCAATTCTGAATTCTTCATCTTTCCCAACCCTTCATTCCTTCCACCCCCACCCCTCATCACAAAGAGAGTAGAAAAGCCATGCAAAGAGAGATCTTCGGGAACATCTGACCCAGTTTTCTTCTCTGAAGAAAGGTGTAGGAAAACAAATGTTTATTTGTGGGCACAACTGGTTCACAAGTTGTAGTTCAAATCCACATCCTCAAAGGGCCAACATCTGACATAGCCTGCTAATCGAGGACTTCAGGAGCCGACAGCCTCATGCTGATGATTAGCCCCTGCCTCCGATGTTGGCGCATTACTGGGTGCAGCTCTACATACGAACTGTGTACATGGCGGCTTAAAAACCAGAAGCATTAGTCTTGCTTCTCGTGACATCTTGAAGGAGTGCCCGGATTCAGAATTAGGCCTGGTCAGTACTTAACTTTGTTGTAAGTGACTGCCTGACCGGTGAGTAGGATAAATGATGCCACTGGGACTGAAATGTATCTTAAAATTAATCATCTGCTTAATGGTTTTCCTGGAGAAGGATGGGTTTAAATACAAATTTAAGGGCATTTTCTGCTGCAAGGCTTGTGAAAGTGAAGATCCCATCACAGAGATTCTAACCAAGACAGATGTACATTGTGTTATGGATATTTTAAAATCAAAACCATTATACATTGAATTTATTTTAAATTCTATATCCAGACACAACCAGTAAAAGCAACCAAATCTGTATACTGTAAGTTCTTCAGGAAAGGAATTAGTTTTGTTTGGGATTTATATGGCATTTGATACAACAGAACCAGTCCAGGAATGGGGAAGCTACACTGTAATGCTATACAAATTAATGTAATTGTGTTTTTTTAAAAACTCATAGCTTAAAATTCTGTTTCAAAGGCCTGAAACTAGTGTTTTGTTAGCCATTTTAGAAGCATGCTGTTTAAAAAAGACAAAACCTCAACGGCTTCTATAAGCAGATCCATGATTTATATTGTGAATCACTTTGGCGAGAGCAGGAAAATCCCAAATCAAGTTACTCTTCAACCTGCACTAATAAATCCTGTGTTGACATGAATTCTTTTTTTCAGTGCTTCATTTTCAAGGAGTCATGTGGTTTTCTAATAATCAGTCTTCTTGTTTCCTCTTCGTTCTGTTCAACAAAGCAGCGATAACTGCAAAAGCGTCTTAGGCAACACACAGCAACTCCAATGCAGCACTGAGAAGTATCTCTGTGAAATCAAGTTTAATGAGATATCAAAATATTACATCTGCAAGTCTTGGCTGCTGGACAGTACTTTGGAAAGCAAGGCCAGTTTCCTTAGTCCAGATTAGTCAACATCAGGTTCATCGGTCTAATGTTTCACAAAATATTTTCCCACATTTGTCCGACTGCAGTTTGAAGGGTGTAGCTGACAACATAAATGTGCCCTTAGGTGAAAATCCCTAAACATTTCCCTCGGCGATCTTTTCGTCTGGACATTACCAATGCAGATGTCTGTAATCAAGAGATCTCTACGGACCCGCTAATTATTCCCTAGGCTTTTCCACTGGCAATAAAAATCCCATTTGTCGCAGCTTGTTTGCAGAACTGCTTCCATTTCCAGAGTGGTGGCATTAATTAGCAAAAACCTGTGAAAATTGTTGGAGTTTATACATTCAAAAAACCCCACTAAGCGTTGCTCCTAAATATTCCTATAAATTCAGCCATGGCAACAAGTCCTGAAAGTCCAGCTTTCTCAGTTGGAACAATTTTTCATGCTTGTAGCAATAAGTGGGAAATAATGGGGGTCTCAGATTCACATTAGGAAAGTTGCTTCTGTGACCTCTTCATGCAGATGGATGGTGAATTTCTCAGATAATAAATCAAAGTTTCCTGATGGTACAGTGGCATCTCTTGCTGAGGCCCGTAGAGCTGCTGGCTGCCCTCTATTCAAAGGCAGCAGGCCTCTGCCCTGCAGGATGCTTTCTCTACAAATCCTTCAGTCATGATCAGAAGATATTAGGGCCTCTATAAACGGCCCAGGCATTTTGGGGAACAGCCAGCATCCTGCTGGGAAATGGACACTTTTCAACTTCATTGACATCTGTCACATATACAAAGAATAGAAAGTGATCAGGAAAAAAGCCACATTATGACTTTCCCATCAGCAGGGCCAGTTAAGTCTTTGTTCTTAAAATATATTTAAAAGGCTCATCAGAGCTACCTTGCTTAATAGTATCTTTACTAAGAGAATCTTACCTCTGGGTTTTAATGACCATAGATCGTTTCTCTGTTTCTTGACACTTTTTGGATACGGCTGACTTTCCTGTAGGAATTTGAAACAAAAACAAGGAAAAAAAAAAAAGCTGTGATGCTAGTTTTTCCATGCAGTTTTTATTAACTTTCTTCCGAATAAGTCCCTGCAAGGAAAACGACACCGATTTTTATTATCAGAAATATATTTATTAAGTGACAATCTAACTCCCAGAATAGCAATGCATTCATTTTTTTGGAGTTAAAGCCTTTTCCCAAATGACCCTAAAATAAGCATGGGAAAGCAGTACTGTAAATACAGTAATGAACTTCAAGCGAATATACTTTTTTTCTCTCATCATATTGCCTATAGTAAATACCATTTGGGGAATGGGCTGTCAATTATTGCACTTATATAACATAAGGATAAAACTCACGGTTATGCTCTCTTGCTATTTATAATCAAGTGTCTTATATGCAGACCACAAAACTTCAATAAGAATTTCCACCCCTCTGAGTGCAATGCATATACACAACTACTTTTTCAGTTCCTTCTTTATGCAAGTATTTTCCTCAAAAAGCAAGAGAAACCAGTATGTAAAGGCACCTGGTAGGGAAACAAGTATTTTCAACCACAGCTCTGACATGCTATGGGATGATGGGCAATTTCTGGGACTCTGTTTCTTCAAAAGCTGATGATGCAAAATGTAAGTGCTTTCATATGGCACCGTGATATCTAATGCTAAAAGGAAATTTTAATTGCATTTGCACTTATCACAGAAGTCAACATAATCTATTCATCCTGGGTTTTCTCTATTGACTTCAGTAGAATCAGAGTATTTTATGTCATGGTAACTGAAAACAGTATTTGTCCAGCTGGCTTCAGTCTTTTCACTAGTTCCACCCAAGTCAACTGAATTCAACTGTGAGGTGAATGAAGCAAGCAGGACTGGGCTAGAGATTAATATTTTATATAAAGACAAAATTGAGCTTGATTGGGCAGAAGGATGGGAGATAACGTACTTACCTAAATAAAAACTGGGGGAAAAAAATCTCACCATGTCTGCTCGGCTGCAGCAACAAAGCTCTAGTACTGCATAGGTGCCTGGGGAAAGGGATTTAGCTGCTGGTGGCTGGACACGGAGGAGCAGTGACAGGCTGGGAGCATCAGTCACTGAATGCTGACCATGCTATAATATTTGCAATTTAAGATTAGATGTAAGATTATATGAGAAAAGGATAAGGTGGACTTAGAAATGGGTCCTGGTGAGCCTTACAGCAAACCACTAAGCCCAAAGCCAGCTGGTGCACTGGTTTCCCAAAGCAGCATGAGAGCCCAAGAGTCATACAAATGAGTCACACCTGCTTAAAGCCATCGCAACACAGAGTGATGAAGGGCAACCTGGTAATGGAAAGCAGTCTGGAACCCTCCATTAGGTGATGATAGATTTTTAATAACCTTTCCCCTCCCCTTCTAGTTAGAAGACTTTTTTCTAGAGGCTGAGCCTGACTGAGCAAACTTTGCAGCAATGTCAAATTTAGGAGTCTTCAAAGTTTTAATGGAAAACACTATCAAATCCTGTTGGGCAGAAAATGTGCTTTTCATGAAGAAAACTTCTTTGTTAAAAATTAACATACTGAAAGCATTAACATAGTATTTAAAAGACTAGGCTCATTCCAAACACCTTAAAACAAAAGTAACTACAACATTCCAGAACTAGGTTTTCATTCAGTCAGGAGTTTAACAGTTAAATACCTTTAAAGGTCCAAAGTTTAATGATTCAGACCCTGGAATGACTTTTTAAAACTGCCTAATTCTACTAAAGCATGCAACGTTTTATAGGAATCTGCCTTTTCTGAAATAAAGCTGCAACTTCCATCTTTCTGATTATGACTTCATGGACTACCCACAGAACGTAGTTCACTGCACACTCCAGCTCTGGGTGTATGTGAACATGGCACAAGGCTGATGGAGCTCAGTTTATCACTATCAGTGTGACCTGTGCTCAGAGCTCCGGTTTGGAGCACAAGATAACTCACTGAAGTATTTAAGCATACACTTCATATTCTAGGATGCAAACAGTGCAACCAAAGTCAAAGAGTCCATTCAAATGCTTAAAACTACTCACAACCTCAAGCATTTTTCTAGATGAGCCTTAAGTTGCCCCTGTCGTGCTGGATCAAACTCTGATGTAAGGGTAAAGAGATGTAAAATTGCAACACAGCCAAATCAAGCAAAAGACAGCAGTGAAGTAAGTCAGTGGTCTTCCCAGTTAATGCTAAAGTTACTCCACATAAAACATTTAAAATGTCAATGTTTTAATTGTGTATTTACTTTACTTTCAAAAAGGGAAACGATTTGAAATAATTAAAAAATGATCCTGCTATTTCTGATCACAGCTTAAGTATTGCCAAACTGAGATTTTCAAAGGGCTGTTTTGTTTTCTGTTTATTTTGTAGAAACTGTCGAATAAACTATTGTCCTTCTAGTGCTTCTATCAGGCTATATCTTATTCTATAAACAGCTGCACCTTTTATAATGTTATATAGAGGACACTTCATCACAAAGATTTGAAACAATGTAGATATTCTGGAATATAAATACTCAAAAATTGTCCTTAACAATCTGCAAATATCTACATAATCTGAAGAAGAACATTTAATCCTAACAATCAGTGCACAGATAAACTCTTAAGGCAAATGGCACAGATTCTGAAACACTGGCACTTAAGTATTTTGATTTTATATCATCAGATTCTTTTTCTAGCATTGTAACATAGCTCCAGGAATAATCTGATACTTTTGTTCCCACATGCCCTATATATAAGAAACTGCCATCCTTCTTTTACCTATTTCCTATTGTCTTATTCCATGGAGGGACTTCTGGTTCTTGGTCTGCTTAGGAAAATCCTACAGAATGCTGAACATGCCTTACTATCATTCAAGCACATTTAAAAGCTAAGGAGTGTCTCTCCTCTTCCTGGACCAAATAATATCCTCCACATAAACATGTGTAACATTTTAAAACCCCTTTTAGATATGTAAAAATCTGGCAATCTTTTCCCCAGGATTCTCTAAAGAAAATGTGGATTCTTCATGCTCTTTTGCTGTATAGGGGGGAATTCATTTGTCCTCTGACATTCACCCTTTGCAATTACTGCAGAAGATAAGCTAATGACCCAAGATTTGCAAGGGGACTGTCCCATACTGCGGCTTCCAGATCTGTGAAGGCCACACAGAAGGTTTCACTTGTCTCATTAACTTCCCCACTGTACCAACCAGAAGTTTATTATACAGTACTTTTCTCTTTCAACTTTTACAGTTCATATACCTCGGCAGGAGCCTGGACACAATGACCCAGGACGCCCCTTCCAGCCCTAGGTTCCTATGAGATGCATGAAAACAAATCACAAAGGTCCAAAGCAGTATTTTTACAAACTCTAGATTAGATGAAGCACCACAATGGAACACATAATTGCAACAACAACCTTCAAGGTAATATGACAGACCCAAACCATATTGTGTTGTGTATAAACTATACAAACATTTCCACTTGATTTCCTAAGGAAATGAGGCTTATGCAGTCATGCCGTCTGTCTGTTCATGTCTCCCCCTAATAACTTGCAAACCCACTGGCACATTTCAACGCAAGTTGTCAGGGGAGAAGCAAAAGTCTTGGAGATAATTATGTTCCTACAGGTCTTGCCATTGCACAGAAGAAAAGACCTAAATTGGTGCCCCCAGCTGGGGAAAACCTCCTTGAAGGAGTGGGATCAATGGTTACTTGTCCAATCAGTACAAATCAGCTTATTTCTAGCCTTCAAATCAGTACGTGCGTAGCTCCACAGCAGATGGAGCAGAAGTTGCCTTTTGTGCTTCTGGTCATGAGTGGTTCTGGGAAGGGTCAGAGGGTCTTACGAAGGTCCCTAGAAGGTGTGTGGGAGATGGTTCCATAGGAAACTGAGCTTCTGCTGCTCCAGGAACAGGTCCTTATATTTTTTTTCACTAAACGAACAGAGTAGTTTCTGATTTTAATCCCTTGGCTGGACTATTTCTGCTCTGTCAGTTCTTCCACTAGTCTTAAAGGGCTAAGAATCCAGCACACAGTCATTCAAGAATGCTTGGTCATACTACCGGCTGCGTTTCTCATTAGAGATCAAGAAATTTATTACTGGGCTCAGGATTCCCTCAGACCTTCCAGAGACTCTTCTAGAGAGGGCACGTCCCATTCTCCTAACCTTCCAGTAATTTATTAAACCACATGAGTCCCTGCTGACATGCAAGGTTTGCTCTTTCTCACAGTAAAGTTAAACCTACCAAATCTTATTCTTCTGCCACCCTTTGCTGGAGGGTGTCCTTTGAACCAGTTCATTTTCCAGCTCCCAGTTACCTCCCTTCCCCTCCCTCCTGCCTTCTCTCTTTATTCCCAGATCACATACACTAATACTGCCATATTCCGAGGTGTTCTGAGACACCTGTTAAACTCATGCTAAGTGGAAAGCAAAATGAGAAGACACTCCTTGAAGCTGTGCTGCTGACATGCATCATATGGAAAAGTTTTGTGAAAGTGGCTGACTTCAGCATCCCATGGAGCATTCTAAATCCTGTCACTGCACTTGAAAAAAAAACAAAAATTTTGAATTAATGCATCTGGGTGCATGAAAAATCACCCTGAAAAAAAGAACTAACACGCTGAAAAACGTCTGACATGGTTTTCAAGCCACTAAGAAAGTCAAAAAAGCAGGTAGTGCAGCAACTTGAGAACAGAGCAGAAGGAAAAGAAAGCTTTAATCCAAATGTACCTTGAAGTACAATACTTATGGATCCAGCAGGGCCTGTCCTCTTAAGTTAACAGCTATTAAGTACCTACCCACAGGGAAGAAGGACAGATTCATTGCATCTGAGATAAACAGGATACTGATGCCAAGTTGGGGAGTCTTTTAAAAGTCAGATCAATTCAGTCAATAAATTAAAAACCGCAATGCTTTACACACTTGGGATGGAAAGCTTCCTTCCCTTCCATGTTATCTGCCACTTCTTTTGAGGAATTACAGTATGCATGAAGGATATCTA